CTCTTGATTTTCTTCTTGTTGCTGCTCTTTTGAATACTGAAATATGAAGACCTAAAGATGATTTACAKCCCGGATTTTTCACAGTTGTTTCATTACAAAGAAKTAGTTGTACTTTTTTGTTGCCAATTTTTGTTTTTAAGCAATAAAATAACCTTGCAGTTGTTTCCCGCGTATTTATGCTGAACGTTGGAAGACATGCGCAGAATTTTTGGCGCTTAAATCAGATCGGTTATCGAAAGAGAGTGTACTAGCGAGTTTTTATTGTAGAGTTTTTGATATATTGCGAAGTTAAGAATGTCTGTGAAGGTTGAATGTGGTTRGGCAAGGGTTTACTTACGAGAGACCAAGCAGATGTGCCAATTATCGAGGGTTTTGAGGGAAAGGTACGAGCTGTATTYTCAGCACTTCAAAGAGTTTCCCCAGCTTAATATACCTGACCAGAAGGAGTTTAACAGGGTGATTAAGATCATTGATAATAAATTTGGAACCTGGAGATCTAAAAATKACAAGGAGGCATACATTAACAAATTCTTGCCGATAAATTGGATAAAAGAGAAGACAATTACAAAGGAAGGGAAGATGAAGCATACTATCACAGACTGTAAAGCATGTCAACTTATTTACAACAAGTATCAGAGTACATTTCCTGATTCAAAATTTAATAGAGTTTCAAAGTCTACTGGACCATTGAAAGATATTAACAACATATTTAAATCGAAACCAAACATTAAGTTGACAAAGAGAGATCTAAAAGAGGCAGGCAGCCAAATATTTTCTGAAATCGATGAAAAATGTAAGGAGAACTATGGAACATCACTAACAAACATTCTTGTTATGGTACCTGAAGCAGGCCTTGCAAAGAAGCAGTCTCCTGAAGAAAAAAGAAAATTAAAGAGAGTTAATCAGCGACAAACTAAAGAAAACATTCAAGCAAAAATGACCAAAAATGACAGTGATGCACATTTAACTTTGAGACAATCATTTCGTGCGAGAAATGAGCAAAGGCTCTCACAATATTTTGAAACAAAAAGAGAAGCAAAAGAAAGAACAGATAAAAACAAGAAAAAAAGATCACACACAGTAGCAATGCAGAACATTGAAGGTGATTTAGACAAACTACTAGAAGATGCACAGACATGGCAAGAGGGAACACAAATTAATTGGTCCAAAAAAGCTGAAGAGTATGGTATAAAAAGATCAGGTTCTCCAGATAGTATAAAGAATGCTGGACAAACAGTAAAGGCATTTTTACAAGCACATGGAATTGATACAGAGCAGTNCAAACTGCACCAGAAAGCCAAAGAAAATCCAAAGTCAAAATATCACAATGAGAAGTATCAGAATCATTTAATACAAATTCAAACTCTAACACTGTTTTTGAGGACTAGTCTATCACATTAATAAGAATATAGTCATAATTAGTTTATATACTTTTAAATCTCTCTAACAGAGGACTGTTTTAAATAGCAATTCTGTTTTTGCAGAGAACAAAGTTCTATTGTACAAGGTTTTATATCATGGAATTAGATTTTTATGTTGAACTTCTAATACTTTTATATGACACTTATGTACCTTGCTTCTACTATAAGTGGACCTGGCCCAGCTTCAGCTTTTAAATAAACTCTTCGGCACTCSTTGCCATGTTGCAGATACATCTGCAGCTTCCAGTAGGAAATTGTAAATGGGGGACTGGCTRGTATTTGACTGTTGGGTTTCCTAACTTCATCTTTAGAAATAATCCAGTCAAAACTAGCCAGTTTGTCTTTCTTTCGTTTTACTGTAACATCTTCCTGTTTGGAGTAAAGTAAAGGTAAGGTGGTACGTTTTATATAACATTTTTACCAACTATWAAGGATGTATAGAATTTAATTAACCTATAAGCCGACTTGGGAACTGATTTCTTTTACCATATTTTGAATGCATGAAAAAACTTCTCCRATACTTTCTGAAGGTTAATGGTACAACTAGCATTTTTAAATATATTATAACTTATTGAAAATGGCCATTTTGACCCTTTGATCTTCTGTTTCCAGAAGTCTGGTGTGGGTCTTGAAATAGGATTYTAGATGCTCCTCCTGGTCTTTTATTTTGTAAATTTGGTGGCACCCCTTAACGTGGCACTCCACCACCCTTTCTTCACACTCCTCCATATGGAGGTTTAGGGAGGATCTGCAAATAAAGCATCAAAATATTTGAATTAAATCTTTTCCCTTGGTCAATTTTCTTATGTTAACATCAGATTTTGTACATAAGCTACATTCACAAAACTTMCATTGCATAAAAATTAAATTACCTTGCTACATTCAGTCCACACTGGTATGGACAGTGGCAAAGCACTTCCCAGCAATCCTCTGTTCTGTGCTTTGCCATGTCCACTTCTTCAACATGGGCATAACATGCCTGGCATGAGACCTTGCGGCGAGGGCACTTGGCCTCATGGCTAGGAATTWGCCCTTGTCGCAAGACAAGCCCGCAGCAACACTGTACAGTTGCGTGCAGGCAGCTCTTTGCATGTTCGTTACCATCTGAAACTAAACCTTTCCACAAGCAGCCCTCAGTTTTGCACTTGATTGCCAACCTTTTTAACACCATGTTAAGAGCAACATT